ATTTTAAATGGGGAAGATTTTTTAACCCTCTCTGCTGATTCACTTTGGATCTATGCACCGTATTGACATCTATGTCTGGCATACTGATATGCTTGTCCTTGTTGTCGATTACAGAGCAGAGAACATTCAACTTGACTGAGACGCCCAGAGAAAAGAGGTAAAGCCAGTGTGTCATTTCATGAGCTCAGGCAAGAACCACTCAACTGTGTAGGGTCCTGCTCAGAGGTTCCTCCCTTTTTAGGCAACAGTGCTGACCAGTGATTAGTGATTGGTTTACATGGGGGTCTGTGTGTGTGTGTGTGTGTATGTGTTTTCCTAGATTTAAACCTGTGGTTGGTGTCTAAGTGCACAGGATGTGACATGCTTCCTGTTGTGAGGCTGGGGCCAGCATATTCTCTGATTACAACCTCAAAATAACCCTGAGCAAACAGTAAAACTCGGGGCTTTCTTTGTATGTCAGACCTCACAAACATTTTGCAAAATTCTAGGCCACATCAGTGATGTTGAAAGGGAAGCATGCACATACTGTAGTATTTATCTTGGATAGAGATTTTAACAGTTACTATGAATTAACATTTGCTTAACATTCCTGCTCTGTAACGCAGGGATTCCCAACCATTGTGTACAAGTGCTTCCCGGGGTAGCTAATCAAAGCTAAACAGCATGCAGAGCCAAAATACATGCAGAACTGATTAAAATAGATTTTAATCATTTATCTCAACAAGAAGTGAAAAGTGGTTAAAGTACAGTCATGTGAAAAAGACTATGCAGTCTTCTGGAAAACGGAGTACATCCCATGTGCATTCTTTAGCAGCAGTAACTTGAAGTGATAATTTTCTCTATGACTTTAGCAGTTTTTCGCATTGTTGCAGAGGAATCTTGACCTATTGAAGTTTGCAGTTATTTGTTTATGCACAGTTTTCTTAAGGTTCCACTTCAGCATTTCTTTGGGGTTGAAGTCTGGACTTTGACAGGGCCGTTGCAACACCTTGATTCTTTTCCTTTTCAGCAATCCTTTTTGTATATTAGCTGCTCTGCTTGGAATCACTGGGTCTCATTTACTAATATTTGTGTGGAAACTGTTACCCTGCACAAATAATTAGTTCCCACGCAAAAGTACTGTCACTTTAAAATGTATAATTTGGGTTTTTAGTTTCTCTGATCATTGCACAGCCTGACTTTGGGGAGAATTTGCTGAAGATTGTGACATTGTGTTGTGAGACACCTGACAAAACTTCTTTTATAGAGATGGTCACACTTGCTGATGATCAGTCCAACCAGGTCCTGCACTATTTGATCATAAGTAGCTGCACATGGCTGCTGCTTCTTCTTAATTTCTATGGAAGTATTAAGGATATAGTCTAAGTAGTTTGGGGGAAAAAATTAACTGGACTTTTTTACTTCAAATTCTTGCAAGGATGTACTCGCACTCAGTATTCTGCATAGACTTGTTTGGAAACCTTCTTTTTGACATGACTGTAGCTTGATTTTAAAACAGGTAGCTGAAAATATGGCTGTTACAGTTTAAATCAGTAGCTAAAAAGCTCAAAATGATATCTAAACATAACTAGAAAGCAGATGAAAAAGTGAGCTAAAATTATGAATAAAGGGTTGAAAATTATTAGCTAAAAGTGTTGTCAGCTATATAAATTGTTTGCTAACAGTTTAAATAAATAGCTGAGATTATAAGATAGGCTCTTGGATAAATAAACACAATGAATAAACACTTGAAACTGGTCACTAAACATAATGGATAGCAGTTAAATGAAGTAGCTGCTATTTAAAGTAAATAGTTGAAATGGTACACCAGTAGTTATGGAAAAATGGTTGAGATAGTTTGCTAATCTAGCCTACTAGTCCTCGTGATCCCATGTGATAGAAAATGTCCCTGGCTTATGTATGCCTGAATGGAAGCTGAATGGGGTTAGGGTAATTGATAAGCTAAAAGTAGTCCTGGTCCAGGTTAAACTGAGGTCAAATGAACACATTTGTACGTGGTGCTGATGAGGGGCTCTTGTGTCCATCTGACAGGGCAGAAAAAAGGTTGGGGACCACTGTAGTAACATTGCTTGTTTTGATTTCATTTAAGAAATGCTTCTATCCATATCCATTTTATCATCGATTTCATCTCATTGCCTCATAAATTCATCATGTGCTAATATATTTTGTTTTCTAACAACCATTGCTAACAGAGGAAACACTGTAGAAGATCATATTAGGCAATCAAATTATATTACACCGTTAGATTATTGTATTAGGATAAATTACATTTATATAACCACACCAACCTGATTAGACTCACCAACTGTTTTTGTCCTTTACGATATCAGAATCCATCTGATTTAACTACCACTGCCCAAAAAGCGCTGGTTAATATTTAAATGTTCAACTAAAAATAGCAGATAATACAAACACCAGTGTAACTCTTTATTGCAAAACCTGTAATTATCTTAATTTTCCATTCCCACACTGTTCTAGGAATGACTTGTAGACTTTAGAATATTATTGGCATTTTGAGTTACCTGATGAGAAGAGACACAACAACTTGGCCTGAGGTGCTTTATATCCATGCAGGGTTTTGGGTTTCCGTAAGCGGGCCCAGTCAGCAGAGGAGGAGAGCAGCGCACCACTCGAACACCTCACCCTCACAGAGTTCCTCAAAGAGTATGTTATTCACCTAAATGGCCTCACATGTGCATGTGTGGCTTAAGTCATTTTAACCCCGCTGTGCGACCGTTCCCAAGCTCATCCATTAACCATGTAGGTTTTTTCCCAGCTGCATCTGATGATGTAGGAATCTGCAGAAGCAGATTATATTAACACTTCTTATGACGGGTGGCTGCTGTAGGTTTGATGTGATAATGCATGGTTGTTTGTTTTTACGTTCTGTCATTGTTGCCTTTCACCTAGAATGCCCAATGTAACTAGCATAACTCGCTGAAAATAGATGACACGTATTAATTGCATTTTGGCAAGGTCATACTATAAATAGCATGCACTAGAGTCCATAGTGACTTCCAAGCATGCCGAGCATGTTGTGAAGAGTAATAATCTGTAGACTAGGGGTCCTGGAAGACTGTCTGGACATTCTTTCATTCCAGCATGATACCAGTGTACCTTATTATGCTCTCTTTAGTCTATTAAACTACTAAAATTATGATGTCTTTTTGTTAGTGTGTGCATGTTGGATGGTAGTATTGCAGTGAGGAGTTGTAATGACCTCTGACTAAAGCATTTACACTAAAACAGGATCGAGGATGAGGACTGGGATAAATACATAATCCCATCTAAGGTCGAGTCAGAGAAGTACAAAGTCAGCCGGACCTTCAGCTTCCTCAAGAGCAGGATGTCGAGCACTCGCAGCAAGACTAAGGTGAGACAGTGCAGTGGACTTTCTAATTCATGCTGGCTGTGATTTCAGATCTACTCAAATGTCATTAAAAATGCCTACAGTTAAAGGTTACGATTAAAAAAAAAACACACACACACACACACACGACTTAAAGGCTTCTAAAAGCAGTGCAGTAAAAGTTTACCACATCTCAGACATGCCAGGTCGGAATTCTTGTGCTGGGGGGGCCATTGTCTGAGCACAAGCCTTTATTTGGTGAAGCAGAAAATTCTCTCTCTCTTCAGGTCTTAGCAACAAGACACAGTGAAAATATTCTCTTACATAACATGTAGACCCCCGCTCCACACACACACAGCATGGGGAACCAAAACACATTCTGTGCTGCACTCCTAATCTTGTGAACATATGTGCTTGTCTTTAAGGATGTGCATGTTTTTAACGACAGTGTTTCCCTATATTTACGGAAACACAATGCACATGAAGACTCAGAAAACAAACACATTTTCTAGACCTCCTTGCAAAGTTTCAAAAGATAATAAACATTCTTCTATCACAGCATACACTGAGGACACCCCCCTCCCCTCCATCCCAGTGCCCCCTAATGATAAAGCACCATAACAGCAGCAGTCCCAATGGACCTTAACAATGTAAACAAAAAGGCTCACTCAGAGGCCCCTTTATCTCAACTAACTTCACTTTAACAGGTGTTTTTCAGCAAGAAGATGGCTGCTTTAAGCCTCTTTTTTGCCTGCTGCAATGAGTCATATTATTTCTACTCTCCTGCTTTGCATGTTATTATGGCATTATCTGCAATAACTGTCAGCTGAATGAGCACATTTAAAAAATATCTATCATTTGCCTCACAGGTGAAGGGTAAAGAGGTGAAGGAGGGAAAGGAGAAGTCAGTCACTCCTAATGGTCATCAGTTTGTTCCTGTGTCTCCATCTGGTCCTGCTCTTTGTGTGGCCTGTGATAAGTCTGTTTCTGGGAAGGAGCTGTTGCAGTGCTCCAGTAAGTATTACACTGTCAGTGCTGATGTTGTTTTATGTCCTGTGGTGGCTGAACTGTTTTGGATTTGTTTAAATCTCTTTGCACGTGCTGCTGTGATGTTTTGTTCAGTATAAGACATGAAGTCATTTTTTTTTTCTTTCATAAAGTCAACATTTCTAGTGACAAACAACAGTTTGTCTGCCATCTGGATACTGGATTCACATATGTTGTAATAACTCAGTTCATGGAATTAACTGACATTTTATATGTGCTTGTCTGCAGACTGTTTACTGAATGTTCATAAGAACTGTCGGGAGTCTGTTGCAGCCTGTGCAAAGGTAATCATTAACACAATGCACCTCATTTGCGCTCAGAGCAAATAAGCAAGATTATTGATTTAAAAATAGTTTTACAAAAGAAAAAAGTCAAGCCAGAGAGCTTCACAAATGTAAAAAAAGAAAAAGAAACAGCTGCTGGTGACAGACTGCTTCATGTTTGATGTGCTGTTTTCACATAGTAACAATGTTGTTATTTTATATTTGGCAGAATATAAAGTCCTACCTCTTTTTTTTTTTTCTTTTTTTTAAATGTCGCATGTTTTCATTTGTCAGCTGACTTCTTGGGGACAAAGTCTTTGTCCGTTTCTGTATGGCTTACACAGTCAGCCAGGGATGAGGTCAGTTTTACAAAAATAGGTCAGGCACTTTCAGTTAGCACTAGTCAGCCTGTATAAATAGATGAGAAAGAAAAGGTTTGTTATGTTATAGATGGTGTTATGGAAACTGTAGGCTCTGACATTACTAAAGCTTGACCTACACTCTGGATTGTAAGTACAGCTTTTCTTCTGCTGCACCAGATGTTAACTTGTAAACTATCCATCACTGTAGTGACCCTTTATTACCTGAACAGACCACAATGCTGTAGAAAGAGATTTTATGCCCTATGCATTAAACGACACATTCATTTACTTTTACATCTAGCAAACACGTTTGGTATGTAAAACACGTGTTTATACTGGTTGTTTTGCGTTCATTATTTACATCTGTGTTCAATGTCAGCTAGCAGAATGGTGTCAAACCACTGCCCACATGTGCACACAAACACTCCTAAAAACATTGTTGTGTAGCACTATTTGGACCCAAAATCCACAGATTGCATTTAAGTACATGCTAGCTAAACCAGAAATCTGTCACTCAGTCTGTTACTGTGTTGTAGCTAGTTATCTAGTTTGAATCATTCCCTTTGTGTTTTCCTGTGGCTCTTATCACCCCTGTTTTTGTTGTCTAAAGAGGGCAAAATGCAAGAAAAGAAGGAAAACAAAGAAAAAGTAGTCATTTACTTTAGTAAAGACGAGCAGAGTGAAAGTGGGTACTTTTTTCCACAGGAAGAGTAAATTCCTGGACATGGTGACAAAGGAACTCCGGGAATGTGTTGATATCACAAATTAGTCATGCATAAGTACAATATCTCCCAGCATGTTTCTCTTTAACTGATTCCAGTTTTGACTAAATTTGTTGTGATTACAACCACATCCTCCTGTTATTCAAAGCAAAAACACTCAGATTTACAACTTTTGGTGGCGATATGATTATATCTTTCCAGAAACTGCAAGACAGGAATGCATTGCTGATGAAGAACAAGGCCTTTTCTCTCCCGCAGAGTGAGTGCCCCCACTGCTCCTCCCTTTGTCTTTGATTCATTTAGTTTTCACCTGTCCTCCCTTGTCCTGTAGTAGATAAGTAAGCCATTGCTCTTCACCCCTCGTCATTCCTCTTCTGTTGTTTTTCTTTCCTGTTTAAAAAAAAGAAAAAGTTAAATTTTAATCTACCTCAGTGGGGGATCTGGTCTGGATTGTGTTTACGTGTGCATGAGAACACGGGTTGAGTGCTCTATTTGCACTAACATGATCATTTTATTTCTTCAGTTTAAGCTTTCTGTCTTCTTTGAGTGCTTGGTATTAGACAGAGGTGTCAACATCTGCAATGTATTGTCACAACTGTAATCAAACTGCAGTTAAACAGTGAAAGATTATAACAGTTTAATGATCCTGTAAATTTTATAGCAGTGACTACATAGATATAAACAAAACATCTGAATACTAAACAAACACGCAATATTTATTTTTAGAGTGGGAAAGCGTCCAGTGTATGACGTATTTCTCCTCCTTTTGATCTTCCTTTTTAGACCCTGTCAAAGAAAACCCACCATCCTCCATTTTCTCTTCTTCTTCCTGCCCGTCCTCTTCGCTTCCAACAATGAACAGAGAAAAAAGAGAAACAGTCCCACCGCTTACTAAAAGCCTCTCTATCTCTGCAGACAGCAGGTAGGCTGGTTATGATCTGGGAAAAGAAAAATATTACCACCAGTATGAAAAAAGCATTAAGAATGAATGAACTGCATTCATTTTGTCTTTTAATTCAATTTGTTTACTTTTAAATGTGACCTATTATGCTTATTTCCAGCTCCATGTTTTTACTCTCATATTCTTTTAGAGACGTTTTCCATGATTTATAGGTTCGTCCATAGTTCATCCACTGTATGAAACAAGCCATCGTAGCTTCCCCTCCCTTTAAGCCAGTTTTCTTCTGATTGGCTGGCCCTGACAAACAGGTCTGAACAACAGGTTGATGGGGTTTCTGTACTCCCAGTCAGAGCTGTCTATCTGAGATGACCACATTGGGGATACTCCCTCATGTTGATGTCACACAGATCCAGGAGTAGAAAAAACATTTGGAAATTAAAAAAATTTATTCTTCTGTGCCCTACGACAGCTGGGATAGGCTCCAGTGCCCCCCGCGACCCTGAAAAGGATAAACGGAAGCGGATGGATGGACACAATTGAGACGTCCAAAAAGCAGACTCTATTTTAGTATGCCTAAAAATAAATGAAACCTAGATTTTCACACAGGCTCTTCTGACCTGGCTCTCTTTCCCTCAGACGGCTGAGCGACTCAGCAGGTGCGGACTCTGAGTGTGCTGCTCCAACTTGCACTATTAGCTCACTGTCTGATGACGGGACACCAGTCACAACGACTCCCCCAGCCATCGACCTGCCAATCACCACACAAGGTGAGGAAGAACAGAGAGGCTTGGTACATGCATCAGTTGTAATAGTGATCCAGAAATAAGACGCTATTCATCACTTTCATTCATGTAGATACTGTTGATGCTCCTTTACTGGGCGACCTGTCCGCTGACCTGCTGGGACTTGAAGCAGAGTCATGGAGTCTTGCAGTCACTGCCGAATTTTGTAGGCAACACGACAGACACACAATCAAACGCCAGGATGTTATTTATGGTGAGAAAATCCAGCCGGCCTGGAATTAACAATAAATTAACAATACTGTTTTAATATTTTATATAAAAGCACTGTATACTGTACAACCAGCATCTGTAATCATATAGCTGATTATGTTGGATTCTGTGGGCTGAGTGAAAAGCTAACTTTTTTGCAGTTTCCAAAGAAATGTGTTTCATTATTACTTGTACCACCAGTGTTGTCAACCTTTGTGTGTTAACATATCAAAATCCTGTGAAGCGCAGATGGTTTATTTTCAGCCTGTGAGAAACCTTTGCCAAACTAAACATTGCATCTACAGTTTGAAACATAAACCCTGCCAGATATTTCAGTATCCCATACCCAGTTTGGCTGTCCTCTTTCAGAGCTGATGCAGACCGAGCTGCACCATATCCAGACCCTAACGGTCATGTCGGAGGTGTTCAGGAGAGGCATGCTGGAGGAGCTGCAGCTGGATTGGGACTGTGTGGCCCGGATTTTCCCCTGTTTGGATCCCCTGCTGGTCTTCCACAGGAACCTCTTCAGAGCTCTGCAGGAACGCAGACAGGCTGAAACCCAAACAGAGAACTCCCAAAATTACATCATCCACAGGATTGGAGATATACTGCTTCAGCAGGTTAGTTGATATTTAGTTATGTAAAATAAATATACTCAGATGGACGTCTGTGCTCAGCATCTAGTCTCTCTCAGTTCTCAGATGAAAATGCTGAGAAGATGAAAAACTTGTATGGAGAGTTCTGCAGTCACCACATCGAAGCTGTCAACGTCTTCAAAGAGCTACAGCAACAGAACAAGAAACTTCAAAACTTTGTCAGGGTAAGCCCCTGAATCCAGATCCACTGTTTGTTTTTTTTCAATTAGTTATATTACAGTTAAATATTTTGAGCAGCTAAAATTCTTTGTCTCTCACAGCAACAGAGCAATAACTCGCTGGTCAGACGAAGAGAGGTCCCAGAATTTATCCTGCTTGTAACTCAGCGCATCACCAAGTACCCAGTGCTGCTGGAGAGGATATTACATTATACCAAGGGTGGGTCTACTCTACTGTGACTTGTGCAAAACTGCAGATATGCAAATGTTAAGTCTGTTGCATATTTGTTGAACGGAGAAGAACAAATGAAAAGCAAGAGGAAGTTTTAGTGATTGCATAACAAAATGTTGGCCTAAAAGTTTAGCATTTTAAACCACTTCTTAAAAAATTATTGATTTAAAGACCTAAAACAGGAATCTTTTTTAATACATTTTAATGCTGCTTATTTGTCTGTTATCAGTTAAGAGATCGTAACAAAAAGCTGCATTATTGAAAAGCTGTTTTCCAAATTGGATTATTCATATGACCTCTGGCTATTGTTTCTGTTCGTAGAGGGAAGTATAGAACACTCTGACCTGTCAACTGCCCTGGCTCAGATCCGTGATGTTGTTGCAGCAGTGGACCTGACTGTAAATAAATATGAGAAGTTTCAGGAGCTTCAGGAAGTGCTGGCCCGGCTGGAGAACAAAAGCTTTGCCAAGCTTAAGAATGGCAAGGTGTTTCGCAAACAGGACCTGCACAGCAAACATAGGGATCTGCAGCACAAAGGGCTGGTCTACTGGAAAACAGCCACAGGACGTCTGAAAGGTGGATATGAAATCATATCGGGATATATGATGTGTTGTTTATTTAGGTTTTAGACAATCAAACTATTTGTGTCCACACTTCTCTTTTCAGATACGTTGGCTCTTTTGCTCACTGACATTCTAGTTTTCCTGCAAGAGAAAGATCAGCGCTTCATATTTGCTGCTGTGGTAAATATCAACCCCTCCCCCTGAAAAAAAAGAAATCTTTTAAATCAAAGAAACTAGATTAAACTGTCTGTCCATGTGTCTCTGTCTATTAACCAATCTGGTTCAACCTACAGGACCAGAAGCCTCCAGTAATCCCTCTACAAAAGCTCATCGTCAGAGAAGTTGCCAATGAAGAGAGAGGGATGTTTCTCATCTCTGCATCCTCAGCGGGGCCAGAGATGTATGAAGTTCATACCACCAGCAGAGAGGAGAGGAATGCATGGATGAGACACATTCGACAAGCTGTAGAGAGGTACATGTAAGCACAAGTCAAACCTAGGGTGTTTGTGCAGCTTAGACGCCATGTGTAGGTCCGGTTAATGTGTGTTAACGATTGTCACAAATTACTAGCTGCCCTGAGGAAGAGGAGGAAGATGAGCGAAGTGCTGAGACCGAGGAAGCCAGGCAAGCTGCAGAAATGAGAATTCAGAAGATCACCAAGTTCCAAGGTAAAAAAGGAAAGTGTGTTTGAGACCAGAAGATTACTTTAGAGTTTATTTGTTCATATCACAGAGAGTTTGTGCAGTTATGAAGCATAACAAGACCCATTCCTCGTAATCTTTTCGTTCATTTTGTGTAGAAACGCTGTTGGGTCAAGACCAACGAATCTGCAACAGCCTGGAGGAGAAGTTGCAGCTTTATGCTGAGCTTACAGAATTAACCCTCCAGTCACCAGAACCTGTACCACATCGCCACCTGCTGGTAGAATCAGTACCATACACCGACAGTGAGACACCAAGACAGGCCTCTTCACTGCTCACAGCTGCACTCAGAGAAGGTATAAAAGGTCGAGTGTGGCAGCAATTTTTGATTTTGGAGGGGATTCTAAATAAAGAAATGTTCTTGGGAAATAATATTTTAATGTAGCAATATAAGTTTAGTTGATTTCTTATAATGAAAATATTCGTTTTAACAAGTATATTAATTAGTATTACAAACTTGAATAAATTAGCAAATTATAAAAAAGTCTATATATCGCATGCTAATGTAGGAAACAACAAATAAATTGAAATAAAAGTGTTGCAAAACATTAAGTTTTGATCAAAATTTGCCGTTCCTCCAGCTGAAAACCTGATCACCATTCTCCAGGCTCGTGAGGGCATCGCTGTGCAGAGTCAGAGCTCTCCTGTCCGAGGCCCTGAGTGCTGCAGTTATAACAGCCACGGCAGCAGCATTCAGGAGTCTCCGTCTGAGCGTGAGTCACTGGCAGACACTGCAGCATTACATTTTCTGGGATATGTGTCACACTGCAGCTGATGTGTCAGTGTCTACTGTAATGTCTACTGTAATTTCTTGACCACATTGCATATATGCAAGCTGTCACATCTCCTTCCCTTGTCCCTACAGCGGATTATCTGAGCACGCTAAGCATGAGCTCCGCCTCTCTTGGATCTGATAGTGAATTAGCCGGGATGGACAATTCGTTGTGGAGCTCCGCTGTTGAGCTGAGAAAAGGAGAGAACAAAGGGACACTGGTGAAGGTTCAACCTCTTTAGTCCCCAATGAACAGTGTTTGTTGATGGATTAATATACATTACTGTTTCACTGTACTGACCCATTGTTTTCTGTAGGTGGCAGAGAGTGTCCAGAGCCTGACCCAACTTCTATACAGTCTACAGGTGAGAAATAAATCTCTTAGGAACTTTTACTGGTTTCTTTTGCTAAATAGTGAATTTGTAATCTGCCATAACTTACATTTTCAGTCTCTAAAATAAAGAGGTATTTAAAAGGTTGTAGATAGATATAGATAAGGGATTTCAAAGACTGTGCATCTAATAAAGCCTTAATAGCCTTAATATAGTCCCGATCAAAAGTTTAACACCACTTGAAAAATTGCAGAAATTCATATTTTGCATGGTTGAATCTTAACAAGGTTCCAAGTTGAGCTTGAACGTGCAACAAGAAGAAATGAGAGTGAGACAAAACACTTTTTCAAGCATGCAATTTATTGAAAACGATGCTTAAACTGAAACAGGCTGTTTTACAGCTGATCAAAGTTTTAGGACCACATGACTTTTAAAGGCCAAATTCTGCCAGGTAGTCACACTGTCGTGACGTTTGTTTGCAAAGGCAAAAAAGATTCCCTTTTTGAATGTGGTTGGGTTATTGAACTGCAAAAGCGGGGTCCATTGCTACTGAGGTGGGACGGAGTAAGACAGTCATGTGGAATTTTTTAAATGAGGGTTATGGAACAAAAAAGTCAAGTGGAAGACCCCCCAAAAATTTTACCAGCACTGAGCTGGAGGATCCAATTGGCTGTCCGTCAAGACACTGGACAATCCTTGAAATTAAGCCCATTACTGGTGCCGACTCCAGCCCCATAACCGTGAGACGGCATCTGAGGTAGAGGCGTGGTCCTACCTCTGTAAAGCTGTAAAGCCTGTTTGAGTTTAAGCGTTCTTTTTAATAAATCGCATGCTCATAAAAATGCTTTGTCTCACACCCATCTCTTGTTTTTGCATGTTTAAGCGCTACTTGGAACCTTGTTAAGATCCAACCATGCAAATATGATTTTTTTGCCATTTTTTAAGTGGTCTTAAACTTTTCATCAGGACTGTATGATGATGCTTATGTTACATTTAGTAACTGGAGTGTGATTAGTTGTCTCCTTATGTTTGCAGGCAGCTGTGACCCTCCAGGACAGCTGCTATGAAGTCCACCAGCTCCTTCTTCAGGAGGGAGAAGGACCTCAGCTCCGAACCCTCGCCTCCCTTCAAAGCAGCCTGGTATCAGTCACATCATACCCACTGAAAGCATTTTCTCAATGTAAAACCTTACACGTTTTGAGGAAGCTGAGATTTTAGAGTTACAGTGGGGCAAAAAAGTATTTAGTCAGCCACCGATTGTGCAAGTTCCCCCGCCTAAAATGATGACAGAGGTCAGTAATTTGCACCAGAGGTACACTTCAACTGTGAGAGACAGAATGTGAAAAAAAAATCCATGAATCCACATGGTAGGAT